CACTCATTGCCCAAGAACATCCCGCTTCAGGTTACAGATTTCTTAAAACTACCACTTTGTAGCTGAAGGCCCTTAAAAGCAACGAGCGCGATCTCCCCCAAACTTTGAGAAAGTTTCCTGGCCCCTTCTGGCGTGCGGCCATCATGGGGCGGGAGAAGGGAAGAGGGGAGGGGTGTGGAGGCAGCGAGACAAAGGGATTGCAGAGGTTCCTCGGAGGCGGGGTGGGGGCGTTCGCCGTGCAGGTTGGCGTGGCGGCCGTGATTGCTTTTGCACACTGCGGGCCGAGGTCCCGCCAAAACTTGCGGAGGGCGGCAGTCCTAAAAGCCGCAGTCGCCGGCTGCCCGCAGAGGTGGCGCAGCGGATCTCGTCTCGCGGCGCCGCGACGTGGTGGTTGGGTGTGGCCGCCCCACCCCTGGCGGGGTCCCAGTTCCCTTTTGGTTAATGCGCGACTGTTTCAGGTTGCAGGAGGAGATGCTTCAGAGAGAGGAAGCCGAGAGCACCCTGCAATCTTTCAGACAGGTTTGTAGATTCTGTTCCCACTTGCACAGCCACCGGACCCCGCCCCATCAACCCACGGGCAATTCTCAAAAGTTACTCAACCCAAGTCTAGAGAGCGCAAAACTTCACTTCTGTGCGCAAAGCCCCCTAGCGGCAGAAAGACCGCAGATCGGAAATTGTCCGAACAAAAACCCTTGAATGGGGTGAAGCCTTTCCTTAGGACATAAGGAAAGTCTTTGATTTTTTACTTTGTTTCGACGTTTTTTTTTCAAAAAAAAAATTTTTTTTCCGTTTTGTTTTTGAAACACATTGACATTCAGATTCTGAACAGTTACAGTTTGATGTAGATAAAGGTTTGCTAAAGTCAAGTTGGCTAACTTTTACAAGGCCACCAGAAAGCACAGTTATGCCCTGTACTTTAAAATGTAAATGTACAGGGGGACAAGAAACTTAGTTTCACTGGATGGAAGCCAGCAAGTGTCTTTTCTTCTCTGCAAGTTCCATGGCGGCTTTAAAGTTACATGGAACTATCCCCAGGCACAACTATTTTGTGATCTAATAAGGGTGAAAAGGAGCCATCTGTCCTCTGGGCTGAAAGGTATTAATGGTTTCTACGGGCTTCACTATGGAATGTAGATACAGACATTCTGGCAAGTGTGGTGGCTCAGGACAGAAATAATAGGAGTCTTTGTGTTCCCAGAGAAGCTTTGCAACAGGCTGCATTCTTATTGAATATGTAATGATGTAAGCACAGTCCTGGTCGGACACAAGTATTTGCTAACATCCGTTATCTAATCTCTGGCCCAGACTTGTGAAGTATATTCTTAAAGCTACAATCATAATTCACATTTTGAAAGGCCTTTCTTGATTTGGTTTCTTAAATTCTTTAGCACATCCTCCACAAGAACCTAAGGCTGAAGAACGGATTTTCAGTAAAGGACTTTTTGCTCCAAAGTTAGATAGACTTAAAGGATTTTTAGCTTGAAATTAGAATTCAAAAGCCGGAAGAGCTGCCAGCATAGTTTTCTTCCCCTGAACACTTACTGGCATGGCTATAAAAGCTCTCCGAGGAATAGTCTAGAATAACATTTTGAAGCAGAAATACACTTACCAGATTAAGTTAAACACTGCAGTGTGTGCTTCATTTTAATAACCGAGCATTTATGATCATCATATCTATAACGTTTTCTGCAGAGCAGTGAGTTAATATGAAACAATATTATTATGAAAGATCTCCTGTTTAGGGATTAGGTAAAATCCCTCATAGTCTCCTCAATGAAGTAGAATGTCCCCCGTTGAACTTTTTAATAGAGGTCAGTAAATTATCTTTTGCATCTCTTTTAGGGCTTAACAAGCAAAAATGAATTTTGCCCAAGCCTGTTTTTTTTTTCTTTTTTGTTATCACTCATTCCTCATTCACGTTTCCATGAAGGTGATAGAGGTGTCTTTGAAGACTGTAATGCTATAAACCATACACTGAGTACAGTTGCTTACAAAATAAGAGGTGTAAAGATTCTCGTGACGTTTCCTCGAGGGGACATAAAATCTTTGGGACGTAGCAGGTTACAAGTGGTGGAAACAGAAGAGAGCCAGAGCGGCAAGAATTTTTCACATAGTTTCATTACATGCATTTTGAGCAGTCATTCTGAAACAAACCTAGTAACAGAACTTACACCGTGCTCTACAGAAGGGACGGACACACCCTGGTAGGATGTGCTACGAGAGGAAGCAGAGAAAATACAGTCCAGAATTTACATTTTGTTTCCTTACGTGCCTGAACTGAATCTTTGCCAGGGTACGTCTTGAGTTGGAGTATAAATCTAGCCTGTAACCTGAATGCCAGATGACTACACACTCGCTTTGAATTCTAAGGATAAGGTTCAGAAGTTTGAGTCGAGAAAAAATAGAGCTCATGGATACACTGACACTTTCAAAGCACAAATTTCTGTTCTGCGTACTCTCAGGTATAAATGAAGTGAGATCTGGCCAACCCTATGATCGTCACGTTATCTCGCGACATGATAAAAAAAGAAATCTTAAAACTGCTGTCACGTGGATTTTAATGACCGATGAAGTACGGTTTGCCCTGTGCAGTTTAACATTTATCTGCATCCAAATTGCTTATCGGCCACCTAGAACACAACACAGTGGGTCACAATTCAAATTAGTTAATGAAGCAAAGAAAGTAGAGTATGTTATAGTACTGGGTGACTTACGGACCTAATGCAAAAGTCATAAAATCTGTCAACAATCTCTTCACAGTGAAGTGACTAAGCTCATGTGATTAATTTAAAATGAATCCATGAGACAGGCCTTGGGCTTCAGCAGCCCCCCAATGCCCGTCTCGTCTCTTTTCCAACCAGGATGTTGACAACGCTTCTTTGGCACGTCTTGACCTTGAGCGCAAAGTGGAATCCTTGCAGGAAGAGATTGCCTTTTTGAAGAAACTACATGATGAGGCAAGTGGAGCCCCTTTTTGTGGGCGAATGTGGGTGAACGTGGGTGAAGTTGTCCCCAGATGTGGCTCAACCGACCTCCTGTCTGTTCTTTCTTCAGGAAATCCAGGAGCTACAGGCTCAGATCCAGGACCAGCACGTCCAAATCGACGTGGATGTTTCCAAGCCTGACCTCACCGCTGCCCTGCGGGATGTGCGCCAGCAATATGAAAGCGTGGCTGCCAAGAACCTTCAGGAGGCCGAAGAATGGTACAAGTCCAAGGTAGGACGCTAGTCCGTGTGGCTAGAACAAAAGAAGAGCGTTTGCTCTGAAAATGCTTGCACCCGTCTGTGATTCCTATACATACCCATTAGCTCCAGTCAGAAAGCTGGCTTGAACGTCTTCAAACTTCTTGAACTTCTTGTTCAGGTTTAATTTGTTGCTGCAGCCTCCCCATCACTCACTCCTTCTCTTTTCCACCCCTCCTTCTTAACCCTACATCAAAGTAACTCCCAACACCATGCCCTTGACCTCCACCCTTGAACGAGGGCAGTAGATCACGTCTCTACTTGAACATATCAGTGTCGGCATTCCATCACTCCCCCTCTGCTTTTCAGAACAGAAATGCAGACGTATTCTGAGAGACAAGGAGATTTGAAGTTAAAAATACAGAGCGTGGTTTGGATTATGTGTCGTTTATTTGTTTGGTCACCATCTTTAAGATCTGCCATTTTTCTGGGGAAGGTAGAATCTTAGAGGATTGGAAACCAAGTCGCTTGGGGGGGGTCTACATTTTTTATTTGTTTTTTGACAGTTTGCTGACCTCTCTGAGGCTGCTAACCGGAACAATGATGCCCTGCGCCAGGCGAAGCAGGAATCAAATGAGTACCGGAGACAGGTCCAGTCCCTCACCTGCGAAGTGGACGCCCTCAAAGGGACCGTGAGTATCAGACCCCCGTAAAAGAGGGAACATAACCAGTCTGCACCATCCACATGGACCGAGCTAATGGCAATATCTGAACAAAACTTCAAATGAAGGAAAAGTGATTTTTTAATCCAAAGACCATGAGTTGTCAGGACGGGTTCAAAAAAGCACTTTGAGGTCTGAAGATTTGAGCTTACACGGGCCTTATTGTTCTAATACTTGAGCCTTTCTTCCCCCCTGTAGAACGAGTCTCTGGAACGCCAGATGCGTGAAATGGAAGAGAACTTTGCCGTCGAAGCTGCTAACTACCAAGACACTATTGGCCGCCTGCAGGATGAGATTCAGAACATGAAGGAGGAAATGGCTCGTCACCTTCGCGAATACCAAGACCTGCTGAATGTTAAGATGGCTCTTGACATTGAGATCGCCACCTACAGGAAGCTGCTGGAAGGCGAGGAGAGCAGGTATGGCACCAGGGCTTGTGTGCCTGAATTAATAGCCACCATGTATTAGGTATTCTGTCACTCATTTGACATTCCTCACCTCATTTCATCTTGGGAACATATCTTCAAGGTAGCTACTGACCACTTTTTATAGATACGGAACCTTCGGTCAGGAGGTTTAGTAACTTGCCCTAGTTAGAGTTAGTCAGGGGCAGAGCTGGGATTTGAACTCTTAACTCTCTGAGCGCCAATGCTTTTCCCACTCTGTGATGCCTCCAGTTCATGCCCCTGTGGAGAAGATACTTGGGGTAAAAGATTGTAAATGTACTAATGAGGCCACTCATAGGTAAATATGTTTGAAGCAAATCCCTCACGCCATGAACTACAGGAATACGTTGTCTCCTTTGATGAAAACAAGAAGTGAATGAATTCGTGCCTTATTGTTTGAGCTGTTTTCCAAAAATTTTACTGTTTTTATCTTTTTATAGGATTGCTCTGCCTCTTCCCAACTTTTCTTCCCTGAACCTGAGGGGTAAGCATGTGATTACCCTTTTTTGAAAAATTTTAGCAGCTTTGTAACCAGTCTGTTCATGATAAAGCACTCATTTGTTAAATGATACTTGGAAATGCCATACAAATTAAAATCCTGTAAAATATCCATCGTTTTTAGATCCAAGTACTGGCTTACAGTCTGTGCTTCCAGTTAAATTTAAACTACATTGACTTCTTCCTTTGGGGTGTAACTGAAATAGTCCATCTTGATGCTGGGCTTTCAAACGGGTATTAAGTCTCTAGAATTCTTTTGGGCACTTTGAGCAATTATGAACCACAGTCATAATTCTTTGGCCAGTTACTTATTTTTTTCAAATGTCCTTTTTCCTCATTTGGGGCTTTTTTCTTTATTCAGAAACCAATCTGGATTCACTTCCTCTGGTTGACACTCACTCAAAAAGAACACTTCTGATTAAGACGGTCGAAACCAGAGATGGACAGGTTGGTATCTTTCACTCAAAATCGGCATCATCTCAGGCCGGCATTGACAGCCTTGTGAATCACTAAGTCTGTATCTCATATACACCTGGTTAATTGTGGGGGGGGGGGTTCCGTTTCACCCGTGACCCCTCAAAAGAGAATAGGCCTTTTCTCCTGGCATGACCCCCAGCCAACTAATTATTTGGTTCCTCAATGTGGAGGTGAGATCGCAATCTACCTATAGTCCAAAATAAAGGATTTCTTTCTATGGTCCTTAATTTAAAATGGGAGCACAGCCTCTTTCCATTACTTTCTAGACTCGCTTCATGAGCTCCTTCATTAGAACCTCAATCCCAGGAATGTTTTGATACTGGACATATGGCCTTCCCTACTGACTGCCTCCTCAATGCTCCTGTGTCCTTTGACGTAGTGCAGGGACATGCCCTACGATCACTTCGTTTCTTGTTCGTTCCCTATGCCAAGAAAGAAATGGCTGAAATCTATTGTAACCTTCGTGGAATCTTCCCTTGCCCATAAACTTCAAGTGTACGTTCTGTACAATTAGAATGCCTTCATTGCTTTTAAACTTTGCTGCATAGGATGATCACAGCATCCTTCAGAAACATAGTTCAGTTTTCTTTTCTTAAACCCTAACATTCCATCGGATACTTAATCTGCTTGTAGGTGAAGAGCGGCTTACGTACGCATCTGTCCCTTCTAGCTCGGACCCTTCTTGTGTATAATCAACATGACCTGCCTGTTGTCACAATAAATCCTATTTCGTAGGGATTTTTCTTTGTCGTGCTCAATGGGGTAACTGAATCTTTAGCATGTAGTACCATATTTGATTCAAATTTGAATTTTTTTGCAGGTTATCAATGAAACTTCTCAGCATCACGATGACCTTGAGTGAAGATTGCACAGACTCGGTGCAGCAATATATTACCAGCAAGAATAAAAAAAAAAAAAAAGAAATCCATATCTTAAAGAAACAGCTTTCAAGTGCCTTTCTGCAGTTTTTCAGGAGCGCAAGATAGATTTGGAATAGGAATAACCTTTAGTTCTTAAGAACCAACACTCTTAAAAGATTTAGAGAAAAGTTTACAAACATAATCTAGTTTACGAAGAAAACTTGTGCTAGGATACTTTTTAAAAAGTATTTTTGAATACCATTAAAACTGCTTTTTTCCAACAAGTGTCTGACCAACTTGTTTCTGCTTCAATAAATCTTTGGAAAACTCTTTGGCTGTGTTACTTATTTGATAATATCTCCACAGTTCTCCAAAGTTTACGAGGATATATGTGTTAGTCAAATACTTTTTAGTCCTACTGGTTCATTTGTCACAAAAATCTAGGCTAACTTGATAAATCCAACTTATCTATGCTTGAGTTGTATGTATAGTTCCTAACTGAGTCATTTACAGGTAGACATCATTTCTTTTCAATTACATTATTTGAACTTAAATAGACGATCTATCATAAAATAACTTGTACGAAAATGACAGGTCTTTTCACAAGATGAGTTCAGCAGGGTCCATGTCCAGGTGTGATTTCATTCTAGCAAACAGACTTTCTAAACCCAAAGACTTAGGCTGAATGAAAACTTCTGGGGGAATGCAGCATATGGGAAGCTCGGACTCCCCCATGGGAGTTAGAATGTATGGCAATGGCAGTGCATCGGGTGCATCTCTGTTAGCAAGAGGCAGAAAGGGACAGGTCCATCAAGTTTCAGCGAATGACACTTGCATTTCTGTGTCTAACTATATATATATGATATCTATAAGTGTACTTTTTAAATGTTGGTTTATTTTTGAGAGAGCGTGAGTTGGGAAGGGGCAGGGAGAGGGAGATGCAGAATTCAAAGCGGGCTCCAGGGTCTGAGCTGTCAGCACAAGAGCCTGACACGAGGCTAGAACTCACAAACCGCGAGATCGTGACCTGGGCTGAAGTCGGATACTTGACCGACTGAGCCATCCAGGCACCTCTATCAATAGATATTTTTAAAGACTTTGGTGTTTGCAGACAGAAAATAAGGGAAAATCCCTACCTTCTAGCTGAGGGGTTTAATACTTGCGAATCCCAAGGTAAAGTGATGCTAACTAAGCGTAATGAGCTTGCAAAACCTGGAACAGTGAGAATAAATGGTACAGTCGGGAGAAGCTTCAGGACCCAGAGGATGGAGAGAGGGATAGAGTTGAGATAAAACAGGACACAGAGGGTTGGAGCACCTGGGTGGCTCACTCGGTTAGGCATCCAACTCTTGATTTGGGCTCAGGTCGTGATCTCATGTTTGTGGGATCAAGCCCCATGTGGGGCTCTGCACTGACAGCACGGAGCCCCCTTGGGATTCTCTCACTTCCTCCCTCTCTTCCCCTCCCCTGTCCACACTCTCTCTTTCTTAAAATAAATAAACTTAAATTGGGGGTGGGGAGGCACCTGGGTGGCTCCGTCAGTTGAGCGTCCGACTTCGGCTCAGGTCATGATCTCATGGTTTGTGAGTTCAAGCCCCACATCGGGCTCACTGCTGACAGCGCAGAGCCCGCTTTGGATCCTCTGTCTCCCTCTCTGCCCCTCCCCCACTTGCACTCTCTCAAAAATAAATAAAACATTACCAAAAAAAATTTTTTAATAGGGGACAGAGGGTATTGCCTGGAGGCAAAGGAGTCGTAATGGTTGGTAGTGTGTGTGTTCTGGGGGGAACTCCTTTGGGTAAAACCCTGTACTTCTCGACTTCCCGGATTTCCTCTATAATATGATCCCCTCTCCTCCAGGAATGATGTGGCGGGCGTTTGCTGTAACGTTCAGGCATTCGCCTCTACCTCTCTTGAGTTGCCAAGGGGAATAGTAGGTAGTGCATGCAAAGCCCGCCTCAGTGCCAGACATTGTGTGCTGAGTAACACTGGCTGCGATTGACATCGCTTTTGTTGTGGGGGCCGCGCACAAGTGAAGAAAGGATTGGCTGGGGAGATGACCCCCAGCTGGGGTGACTCTACATCCCAGTTTGCCCCATGGTCTTGTTGTTTAAACATTATTTATGAAGACTGCCCTATTCAGACTCCTAACTGCATTCATTCAGTAAATCTTTTTATTTATTTTTATTTTTTTTTTAACGTTTATTTACTTTTGAGACAGAGAGAGACAGAGCATGAACGGGAGAGGGTCAGAAAGAGAGGGAGACACAGAATCCGAAGCAGGCTCCAGGCCCTGAGCTGTCAGCACAGAGCCCGACACGGGGCTCGAACCCACGGACCGCGAGATCATGACCTGAGCCAAAGTCGGACGCTTAACCGACTGAGCCACCCAGGCGCCCCTCGTTCAGTAAATCTT